ACAGGTACTGAAGACTTATAATATCTGTTAGTAATTTATAATACCTGTTTGATGTTTGTTGTGTTGGTTTCTGTCAACTTAATACAAACTAGGGTCACCACGGAAGAGAGAACCTCAGCTGGGGAATTTTCTTTATCAGACTGGTCTATAGATATGTCTGTATGGCATTTTCTTGATTGCTAAATGATTTAGGAGGGTCCAGACTGCTGTGAAAGGTACTATCACTAGGCAGATATAAGAAGATGGGAGAGCTTTACAGCAATAGGAAACAAACTAGAATTCCCTGCATATAATGTGACGTACAAACCACATTTCGGTTTCATGTGAGATAGGAACGTGTTTAAAAGTAAAATCTTGAAATAGCAACAGTGCTCACGTATTCACAGGTTAGCCTGCAGCACTGTGAGGAACTGTGGAAACCCTAGGGGTGGGGCCTAGTGGGAACAAGTAGGTCATTGTGGATGTGACCTGGGAGCATGTGTTTGGTGCCTGGTCTCTTCCTCTTGCTTTCTTTACTTTCTGGATACCATGACGGTCTGTCTCACCATAGACTAAAACCTCTGAAACTATGAGACAAAAGAAAACTTTCCTCCTTATAAGTTGATTATCTCCAGGTATTCTGTCTTAGTACTGTAAGATAAAAATGCCCACATCATATTTCAGAACAGAGCAGTCGAATGAATGGAAATTCCTATGGTTTCTTAACATATTTCAACATACTATACCATATACAGCAATCTCTTCCAAGGATTTTTCCCTTATATTGTAATTCTGGTGAGAGCAAAAAAAATACTTTTAAAGTTATAAACCTATACATGTATACCTGTTTCTCCCAATTCTAGACCTTCAGACGTGATGCTTTTATATTGCTGGCTTAAAATCGAACATATTGCTAAAAGGCCACAAGATGTCACTAGCTGTTTATTAACCATTGTCAGCACATTAGCATAATTACTATGAATTTGGCTTTCAACAAGTTGCCTAACCAGTAGAAGACTGAAGTCCTAATAAGTCATACTTAATTTAAACCCTTCATTTCTATTTATTTTAGGGAGAGTACTGGGACTTGAATCATTGAACCCAGGGCGTCATGCATGCTAGACAAATGCTCTAATACTTACCTACACACTCAATCTTCTATAGTTTTTATTTAGAGATAGGGTCTCACTAAGTTATCCAGCCTGGCCTTGAATTTACTCTGTAGCCCAGGCAGGCCTTGAACTAGTGGTCCTCCTGACTCAGCCTCCCAAGTAGCTGGGATGACAAGTCCTCACCACTAGGTCCAGCTTGCCGATTTTCTTTTATAGCATACAATTTGGCAATGTGGATTAAAATTCAAAGCATAGGAAAGTAAAGCCTCAGAATCTCATTTATTTTAATACGAGACCCTTGTCTAAAATGATGTAAGATGGACCACAAAGGAGAGCTAGAATCTCAACTCATTTAGTATACATATATTTAACTTTTTTGAGTATGTGTGTGTTTTGGGGGGAGGGGGAGGAAGCTGACTTGGGTATCTTTTCGATTGCTCTCCACTGTATGGTTTCTTGAGATGAGGTTCTTACTGGACCCAGAGCTTACCATTTGGTCTAAACTGGCTGGCAAGTGAGGCCCTAGGATCCATCTCTCTCAGTTCCCTCAGTGCTGCAATTCCAGACACAGGCTGCCATGCCTGGATTTTACTTGGGAACCAGGGGTCTGAACTCAGGTCCTCACTCTTGTCCAGAGAACACTTTACCCACCGAACCATTCCTCAGTCCACCAAATACATTTTTAAAAAATATTTTATTTGTTGTTTTATGTGTATGAATATATTACCTACATGTGTAAGTGCTTCTGTATTGTGTGATGCCTGTGGAGGTCAGAAGAAGGCATCAGATCCCCCTGGAACTGGAGTTATGGACAGTTGGTAGCTGCCATGTGGGTGCTGGGAACTGAACCCGGTTCCTCTACAAGAGCAGCCAGTGCTCTTAACCACTGAGCCATCTCTCTATCCACTCCAAATATATTTCTAATGATGATTCATATGATACAATTTAGTTTTTACACTATACCATCACTATATCCATTTTATACATGCAAGAATTGAAAAACATCTGTGATAAAACTGTAGATTGCTAATGTCAGCTTGACTGGGTTGTTTATCCGAAAAGAGTATGATATTCTCATAGATCAATTTATTTATTTTATTTAATTTGGCAAATAGCTCATTGATTGATTCAGGTTATTTATCTGGACTTGCTACGCTTCCTAAACTGTTGCAACTTTGCCCCACCCCAGTCAGGTGCTCATTCCATTTTATTTTATTTGTATATTTATTTTTTAAAAGATTTTATTTTCAATTATGCATATGTGTGTATCTATGTGTGTGTGTTTCCATACATGAGTGCAGTGCCTGTGGAGGCCAAAAGAGGGTGTCAGATTCCCTGAAACTGGAGTTACAGGCAGTTGGGGTGCCTGACATGTGTCATGTGTACTGAACTCAGGTCCTCTGGAAACACAAATGCTCTTAACTACTGAACCATATCTTCTGCCCAGGTCCTTATTTTAAAAAGGCGCACTGTGGGGCTTCAGACAGAACACCAACTCCTGTTAATACTTTCTTACTGCTGCTTCCCTGGGAGACACTGCTGAGACTTGCCTTCACAGTCAACAGTCTGATACATGAACTTTTGCTCTCTGAACCACTTGTCAGATAGTATTTTGCAGAGATCTCCTGATGAGGAAAAGGAGTTTAAGATCATTAGGATAATTTGTTCAGTTCTCCAACTAGAAATAAGCAGACTCAGGTTCAGAAGTTAAGTCTTTTTTTTTTTTTTGAGACAGGGTCTCTCTTTAGCCCCAGCTGGTTTGGAACTCGCTATGCAGATCAGACTGGCCTTGATCTCACAGAGATCCGCCTGCCTTTGCCTGAGTGCTGGGATTAAAGGTGTGTGTCACTATGCCCAGTTTTTCAGAGACTAAATCTTTTTTAAAGACAGCTGTCCTGTCTAAGAAAGAAAGGGTAGTCTCTGAAAGTGAATTCCAATAAAGTTAAACTATAAAGATTATTGCTAGAGAAACGCTTAATTTTAATTAGACATGTGGTTATTAATATAGCCAAGAGCTTAACACAACACTAATCAAATAATTTGCACTTTGTCCCTTTTTTAAATGACAGGATCTCACTATGTAGCCCTGGCTGGCCTGGAACTTGCTATGTAGACCAGGCTGACCTTGAACTCTCAGAGATCCACGTGCGTCTTCCACTTGAGTGGTGAGATTAAAGATGTGTGCCACCAGGCCTGGCTGGTACTTTTTTTCTTACCTATTCTAATATTACTATTAACATCTGAAACAAAAGTACTTTGTATATGGACTAGTAAAGAAAAGTGGTATACCACAGTGCGCCTAGACAGATCCCCTTCCCTTTGTTTCATGGATAACTTTCAAGAGAGTAGACCAAGATGCTGGAGGAGGATGGGATTTTACCAAAGTTATTCATTATTTAAACAATGTTTATTCTCCTTCTTTTTTTTCAATAAAACTCTAAGTCCTATGAAAGTTCTTGGAAAAAATCTTAGTCCAAACAATAAGAGTTAGGCTTCTTTCTTTTAAAAAGAGATTTATTTGATTTTTACTTGTGTGTGTGTGTGTGCGTGTGTGTATGTGTGTGTGTGTTTTCCTTGGGAGGCCTGAAGAGGGTGTCAGACCCCCCCTGGAGCTGGAGTTGTAGATGGCTGTGAACTGCCTCATGTGGGTGCTGGGAACAGAACTATGGTCCTCTGGAAGTGTAGCAAGTGTTCTTAACCGTTGAGCCATCTTTCATTCCCCAGGGTTAGTGTTTCTTTGATGAATTTTCCAGTTTCATTGCTTTCTCCAACAGTTTGTGATATATGTGCACAATTTAAGACTCTTGAGGAACTAAGAGTAATTTAATTTAAGCACCTAAACTTGAGCCATGTATTTACAAAGTAGCTTGTTTAATAGAGAAATAATAATAGGTAATAATAATAATAGGTATTTGTTATCATTACCTTCTCCAACTTATAAGTGAAAAAGCAAGAAACCCTGAGGCTTAGGAAAGCTCACGTGGTCAAGCCTACACATGGCAGGAGGCCAGGCCTCCAATGAGTCTGTTTCTAATGCCTCCTTTAAATTCCTTCAATGGAGTCTGCTGACCATCAGTGGGTGCAGAAATAACTTAATTAATAAGGAGATGGTAGCACTCTCAGAGATATATGGTTAAAACCATTTGAATGTGCACTGTGAAGCTAAAGGCTATGCCTGCTGCTCAGTATCTATTTAACCAGTTCCAACTGGCGGGTCACATGTGAAGGGCGGTGACTCTGAATAAAAACAAGTCAAGGGCAGTAACTTGGAATTTAAAAAATCATACTTTAATTTGTAATGGTTATGAATTAAATACTGAAAGGCCAGACTCAAGTATTCTAGCTCCCAGGAAGATGCTGACTCAGTGTTGGGTTAATGATTGGCACTTTCTGGGCACATGGCCTTTCAGAATCTGCTCAAGACAACAGTCTTTCTCTGGGAACCTTTCCTCCAGCACTCACCTGTTACGAAGCTGATGGTGGAACTGTCACAGCAGCTTAGCTCTGGATCTCCCCACGTAACCATGGTTACCCGGAAGTTGTAGTACCATGCTGGCAGCAGATTAGCTATTCTCTGGATGAGAGTGGGGGGAAAAAATCAGGAGACAAAAGACTGAGGGGGAAAAGAATATTTATGGAGATTTACTTTTATGAGGTCATGATGATATTAGTGAATAATATTTTTTCTTTTTATGTCTTTCTTTTTGAAATGAAGTGAGCCGCACATAAAACAAAATGTATCATTTAAAAAGATGATTTAAAGACACAAAGAGATAAATATGGGTATCATTTTGCAATTTCAAAAGTTATACTGCAAGCTGAAAGAGTACTTGTTTGTAAGTGACTGTTCATTTACACTTCCTACCACTAAGGCAAGTGACCTGCCACAGTCTGTATTCTTGTAACATGGACTGTGAGCAACAGTCTTGGGGGGCAATGACCAGAGCCCTCATCTGTACAGAGAATAATTGTGTGCTTCATGTGTTATTCATAGGTAGCCTAGACGTTACAAAATGATTCTAGTCTCAGAAAGAGCATTTGTTACCCGTGCTCTGAAAGCCATTTCAAATGTGTGGGACACATAGGTATTTAATTCAAATGCGTGGGCAACATAGGTGTTTAATGATTTATAGATGCCAAGATTTCCCACCAGAGATTGACAGGGTCAGTCAATGCTGAAGATCTAAAGGAAAATTCTTCTGTTTCCCTCTTCAGGAGCAGAGAGAAAGGTAAACACTTGATAATACTGCTTTGGGAAAACTCATTAGGAGAAAAACACTGATTAGCAAATAAATTTAATTAACGGTGAAAGCTAGTTTTGCATAATTATCTTTCACTTTCCAAACACAGAAAGAGAATCACACACTCAAAACTCTAAAAGGAAAGAACAGGCACCGCTACCATAAAACAAAATCGAACCCCAAAGTAGCCTGTTGGCTACATGTTTGCCTCTAGTCCTAGAGACAGGAAGAAGTTCAAGGTCATCCTGGGCTACAAAGCAAGATTAGGGCCAGCCTAGGCCACAACTCAATTAGACTAAATGAAACTAAGCTAAATAAAAAACCATCATAAAAAACATCAACCCTAAAAGTCCTTGAAAAAAGCAAACTACTTTGCATATTTCCCAAATCACCTAATTTACAGATGACTTGGGGCACACAGGCAGGGACTGTTTACATAGGACAGTGTGACTAACAGGCTAACAGGAGGCTAATAGCTGGCTAACAGGAGGATTACCACAGATGAAGTTAAGGAGATGGTTGCTGCTATTTCGTAGTAGGTTGTCCATTCTGACGTCATGGTTGTGGGGTTGAAATAAAACATTTCAACCACATATTTTCTGAACACTCCTAAGTAAGGTCTGGTCCAGCTCAACACCACTGCTGTTGGACCCAAGGGGTAGAGCATCAAATCCTTTATCCCTGTGGGAACTAAAAAGGGAGAGGGGTGGAGAGAGAAAATAAAAACCAGAAAGGAGTGTTTAATATCTTCGCAGTGACTTCAGACTTCTACATGATAACCACTGCTTCCATTCTTTGGATAAAACCAGCAAAAACCAAAGTAAATATATTTGCACTTAAAATTTTTCCTCAAGTGGTAAACAGAGGGACAATTGTACAATTGTGATTATCAGGGAGTGGTCAGCCTTTTGTGTTAGCAGGTACTGTGACACATTTGTTTGTGAATTCAATGAACCATGCATGGAGAACAGCCCTTGCACTCCCAAACAATACAGTATACTCTTTGCATACTTTAATACTGTATTGGGTATTATTAGTGATTGATTTAGCTGTGGTTGAGATATATGGGAAGGTTTCTGTAGGTTATATTCACATACTATGCCATTTTATATTTAAATATTGGAGCATCTGTGGATTTTGCTCTCTCTCTCTCTCTCTCTCTCTCTCTCTCTCTCTCTCTCTCTGTATTTGTGCTTGTTTGTGTGTGTTTGTTCCCAGAAGCAATCTCCCATAGATACTGAGAAACTTACACTGCCATGCTGGTGGACTATCGGGGGAACTATCATGGCCCTTCCAAACATGATGATGATTTCAGCTCACAGGCTGCACCCTTCCAACCAGTAGTCTCATGAAGGTATGACCTCATTCCTGTGGCTAACAACTTACCAATGGCAAATGTCACAGGATCAGAAGGTGGCCCAATCAAAGGACCTTTTCTTAGGTACATCACAACTTGGTACTGGGCGCCAGGAACTAGATTCTCAATCACAGGTTTGCTTGAGTTCACCTTTAAATCAAACACCCAAGAAGATTTATTTAGAGCTGGGTTTTCAGAGGGCGGCACAGAAGCTGTAGTATTCAGGGATTCTTTGCAGAATTGTGGCTGACTTTGAAATCTAGCATACTTTGCTCATGCTGGGAAGGTCAGATTTCAAAATTAGAATACTTGACAGTTTGTGTGAACACTGAAGGGAACCAGGACATTCAAATTCTATGGCTTGACTTAATAAGTCCTGTGAACTGCTTTCAATGTCAAGTGCAGCTACACACACCAGAGACACATCAGCCTATAGCCATAATCAAATCATCAATACCACGAGGATGGCCTGACGTCCTGAATTGTAGTGTCATGCAAAGATCAGCACAAAAATGTCTTTAGTCTCTCATCACTTAGAAGCATATAATATCTAATTACAGAGATGAAAATGACCTCAGAGATTATCTAGTTCAGATCTCTGATTTAATAGATGGAAAAGGTAAAGCCAGAGGATGACCAAGGTCCACACTTAGATTCACTGTTGGAAGTAGAAGTCTAGCGCTGTGACCCCTAATGGGCACTTAGAGTAGGTCAAGACACAGCTGTCAGCACTTTGCAAATCTATTGAAACAGAACAAAGTGATGTTATAGAGTGCTTCCTAGATGGCTCTTCCTCACTGTTCTGTTTTAAATTATTGCTGATGTGATCAATGTGACACAGAAAGAAACAGTGAAAAATACATATGCGTGAAATAGATTTATTGAAATTGAATGTTGGCACACGCAAATTGAGGCTTCAATTAAAGGTTAAGAAGAGGCTTTGCCTCTGTGTGTGTGTGTTTGTGTGTGTGTGTGTGTGTGTGAGAGAGCGAGAGAGAGAGAGAGAGAGAGAGAGAGAGAGAGAGATGTGTGGACACAGAGGCCAACACCGGGTGTCTTGCTTTATCAATTTGTACCTCATTTTTCTTTATTAGTCTTTTTGAGACAGGGTCTCCCTGTAGCCCCAGCTGGCCTGGATCTCACTATGTAGACCAGGCTGGCCCTGAGCTCACAGAGATCCACCTGCCTCTGCCTCCCTAGTGCTGGGATTAAAGGCGTGTGCCACCACGTCCAGCATGCCTCATTTTTTGAGACAAGGTCTCTCACTAATTGGCTAACTTGTCTGGCCAGTAAGCCCTCCTTGTCTCTGCTTCCCAGTGCTGGGTTACAGGCATGTGAAACTGTGTCTTGTTTTTAACTGGGTTCTAAGGATCTGAACGCAGGTCCTTATGCTTGTGCAGCACATACTTTACCCATGAACTCATCTCCCTAGCCCGGGTTTTGAATTTAGTCCTTCTAATATTTAAGACGGTCTCACATGGAGGGAAGAATTAGCACTCTCCTGACTGCTTGAAGTAAAATCTCAACTCTACTTTGAATAAATTGTTTATACTCATTTAAATTTTTTATCTGCTTTCTTCATCATTACAGGTAATAATGCACCTCACAGAGTGGTGGAATGCTTAAACCAGAGCACAAAACACATTAACTCTTATGATCAATTTTTTTGAACTCTGGGGAACTAAAATTACAGAATTTTTTATAGGAATATACAAAATTAACAGAGAATAAGGTTGTTTATGCTATAATTTAAATCTCATTAAGATTTAAAGGATAAACATAGCACTGATGAATTTTAAGCTGTTCTGTATTAGAAACTAGTTATACATATTAGGCAATTTATAGTCTGGTTGAAACAACGTACTCTGCCTGCAAATCAAAACTAGCTCAAGTTGGACCACAAATTAGTATTTTGCCTTCTTTTCCTATTTATACTCTTTATATTCGTTTCTCATCCATGTTTTAGATTTTTCTACTAGGAACCTGATGGTCAAAGTTAGCAAGATGTTCTTATCTAAAGAGACCAACTTGAATAAGAATGTATGCCTGTTATAGTTGGCCGTGGTGGCCATGCCTGTACTCCTGGCACTTAGAAGCAACGATGATCAAGAGTTCAAGGCCAGCCTGGGCTACATGAGACCCTGTCTCAAAAATCAAAACCAAACAGAACAAAAAGCCAAACAGAAAAAGAATCTGCATGTTATGTATGACTAAGCGCTACTGTTTTCCTTACAATTGCATGCTCCTAACAATTGTTCACCCAATACAAGAGCAAATGAAGCATGTTGGGGTCTTTCTGTTCTCTTCCCACAAGTCCCAGCACTTTGGTAGGCATCCTTGTAGCCTTCCCTCCAACACATGCATAAATAATATGCTGTTGAACCACATGTGTGTTATGTTACCAACACTGCTATAGATCTTTCTTTTAAATGGAACAGCACATTTTAGACATGTTACCATACTTGTAAATGCTTACCTAACTCATTAATCAGTCCTGTTGGTATGCAGAATATTTAGACTAACACAGGATGTAAAAAGTGTGGGTTGTTTTAGGGTAATGCTGAAGTTCTTTTAGTGTGGTAACATTTTAGGTAGTGGTGGATTCTGTTCACATGAACACCTTGAGTCACAGCCACTTCAATATGCTGCAGTAAGGACTGGAGAGATGACGTAAGGGTTAAGGGCACTGGTTGCTCTTGCAGAGGACTTGGGTTCAGTTCCCAGCACCCACATGGTGGCTAAAAATGTCCATAACTTCAGTTCCAGGGGATCTGATGCCCTCTTTTCTTCTGACCTCTGCACGCATTGCATAACATAGGTTTACTTACATACATACTGGCAATGGACTCATACACATAAAAAAAAAATAAAAATAAAGATAACAAATAAAAAATATTTTAATGCTGTGGTAATAATCCCCTATCAGGGAAATCATGCCTTTTTAAGATGGGAGAGATATATGTGTATATTATATTTTCAAATTCTGTGTTTACTTTTTATTTTATGTGTCTGAGTGTTTTGTCTGCATGTATTTAAGGGCACTGCATGTGTGCAATCCCTGTGGAGGCCAGAAGAGGGCACCACATCCCCTGAAATTGACATTATAGATGGTCGTTAGCCACCATGTGGGTGCTGGGAACTGAACCTCAGGTTCTCTGCAAGAGCAGCCAGGGCTCTCAACCCATGAGCCATTTCTCCTGTCCTTTACACGACATTATTCAAAACAAACTAACTAAAAATTAAAGAGGGCAATAGTGTTGTAAATTACTTGTCTTGTTAAAAAAAATTCCGCCGAATTTCTGAATATTTTCTGATCTGCAAACCTATATTTACACTTCAATTAGTGTCATTTTTCTAATTAGTTGAAAATCAATCAATCAATCAATATTAATAAGTAAATATAACATAATAAATATGCATAATATAATAACAAATAAATCTTTCCCTTAATTTACACTCCTTCTATTATCCTTTCTTCTTTACTGCTGACTGAATCTCCAATCCTGACAACTGAATTAAATTCAATGTCACCCCCAAAAGCATCATCTCTGACTGTCCCTCCTCAGCTAAGGAGATAAAAGGGAGATACACAGGAGATCACAGATGGAAGAAATATGATAGTATGTTAAACAGTGCGTTGGACGACATGGTTGTGAGGTTTCTTGAGTCTGAAATGGTCTGATTTCTGATCATGTAGCACTTCCTCTGCTAGCTCTTTGTTGAATTTTCACTCCAGTCACTAGGGCTTCCTGGGCAGGACCCTGGGAGCCATTCTGCCTTCCTACTTTGAACAAAACATATCTAGCTAAGTCTAGATAACAAAAAAATCTAGCGATTTTTCTTTTCTTCATTTTTATCTATTATTTATTCATCTATTTAATTTATATTTATTGATTTTTATGTATATAGGTATTTTGCCTGTACATATGTAAACGCATTATGTGCATGCAGTGCCCACAGAGTCCAGAAGACAGAATCAGATCTCCTGCAGCTGGAGTTACAGAGGGTTGTTAGCTACTATGTGGGTACTGGGAACCAAATCCAGGTCCTCTGCCATATCAATCAATGCTCTTACCTGCTGAGCCATCTCTAGTCCCTCTATTCCTCATTTTTACTAGCCATCAATCCCTTTTATCCTTATTAAAATCCTATGAAGTAACATTCGTTTATTCCAGTATCACAGATGAAGACATCAAGAACTCTATGAACAGAATTGCTCACGTTCTCACAACTGCTCACTGTGAAGCTTATGTCTGAGACCCGCTTTGTGTGACACTGTAGCCTATGCTCTGCAGTATATTAATAAATAAATATAACATAACAAATATGCATAATATAATAAATAACAAATTGGTAATGTGGTGCATCACTCCCCTTCCTGTGAGGCAGCACAAGCAATGCATAGAGCCAGCACTGGCTACAAAGTCAGATCATTTGGAGTGTGAGCATTGCTTCGACACTAGTGAGCTGTGTGGTTTTGGGGTGGTCCCTTGTATAATCTGCCTGTCAGCCTCACAATTCTTTCATTTGTATAGCTGACAGACTGTTTTTACTTCTGTCTGGTTTTGTTATTTAGTTATTATGCAAGTTGTCAGAAAACATTCATGTACCAAGGCAGATCACATATAAGAACAAATGGACATGCAAATCTCATAAGATGCTCCCTAATTTGACAGCTGAGCCATCTCTACAGCTGTACTAAAACATTTTGAACTTCGTTTCGCCATCTGAAAATTGTGTGAAGGTGCATATATGGGGTGTGTGTCGGGGGGGGAAGGGACATGGATACAGAAGCCCTAGCCCTAAGGCAATCCTGGAATGCTGTTTGGTTCCCACATTCCTTTAAATATTGGACTCCTTGCCCATCAATAACCCTTAACAGTTTCACGCTGTATTTGAGAGGATGGTGTGAAAATTCACTTAGAGTAGCATTTTCTGGCTCATTAATAATCTCTAACATCTATCAGGACCTTTACCTATTGACTCCTATGTAAAAGATACATAATTTGTTACATTAATTACTTATTTTTATTTTATGTATATGAATGTATTGCCTGTTAAGCAATGCACAAGGAGGACAGAGGAGGGCTTTGGATCCTCTGGAACCGGAGTTACAGAAGATTGTTAGCCGCCATGTAGGTTCTGGGGCTCAAACCCAGGTCCTCTGTAAAAGCAGCCAGTGTCCTTAACTGCTGAGCCATCTCTCCAGCCCATAATTTGTTAAAAGGCAAGAAAGAAATGAGCCTTAGAATGTTAAGTTCTAGGAAAGGAAAACACATTTTCCTGATGGTGTAAAACTAGTTCTGTTGGGTACTTTCAAGGAAGGAAGATTGCTAGTTAATCAGTTTGGCACATTTACTCCTAATTTGATTTGAGTTGGAGGGTGGGTTCAGCCTCCAGGAAGAGCTTACCCCAGTATTCCTCAGCTTACTTCTCCAAGGCCCGTAGTTCCTGTATCACTCTTATTAACTGCAAATTTCTCAGCGCTCGAGTTTCACAAATGCCTAGTTTTCCTGAGAGGAATGGAAGTATCCCAGATGGCCCCCATATGAATAGATTATTTTCTGCCTTTCGAGAAGAAAAGAATGTGTTTGTAAGACACTAAACTTACCTAATGTCATGTTATAGAATACTAAAACTGTATGTTGTGGAAATAGGACAGGACCTCAGGATTCTCTCTAGCCTAAGGCTACGTTTTTCCCTCAGGACTGATGATTGGGCGTGAGCGTCCATGTCTCTCCAGTCACTGGACCACTGATTTCTGTATCATCTCTGTCTCTTTTGTTTGTGGTTTCTTGTTTATCCAAAACTATTTTTAGTTGGAATTGGAGGGAATTTTAGTTGGAGGATGGAATTTTTATAGTTTATATATTTTAGCCTTGAAATATTTTTTAGTGAGCGAGCTTACATTACTTTTAAAGTAAAAATAAAAACTGGAAGAATGTAACAAACAAATATCAACCCTCCAAGAGATCCAAATCTTCTGCTTGGCTGTCTCTTCCCCAGGGAAGTTTCTCTGACCAGTTTCCACATTCTTTCCTCACAATCCGTATTACAATCTGGTCAGTCCCTTCTTTTGTGAACTCACAGGACTCATCATTAATTGCTTGCTTGGGTTTTTGAAATATGGTGCAGTAATTTCATGCTCACCTCCCACGGTTCTCACTAGATTAATAGTATGACTTTATAACATCAAGACGTTTAAAGTTTACCTCAAACTTCAACATCTATCCTAGCGCTTGGTACATAATAGGCACTCAGGAAATTCTCTTTTCTGGGATGTGAAAGTGACAGGAACATGGCCTTCAACAAAGGGAAGGGACTGGAGCGTTGCCACTCATTTCTAGGCTCCTGTGTTGGTTGTTGCTACTGCCCACGCCCCCCAACATGGCTTGGTGCAGTTGTTTCTTTGCATCACCTGCAGGCTGGGCTTCGGTGGTCTACATGGGCGTGGTGTGTCTAAGCTGGCACATCTCTCTTACCTGAGTACAATACTGCTTCTCCAGCCTCTGGCTCTCCTTCTGTTTCTGGCAGGTCAGGGACACCACAGACACAATGGTGCTGTTGTAGTTCTCCTGGGAAGATGTCCAGGACATCAAGGCAGTGGTTGAGCTTAAGACATGGACACTCACATGCTGGGGTTTCTCGGTCAGTTCTTCAATCCACTCTCCTGTAGGGCCTGGACATTTCAAATCAGAACAAAAGGGAGGTTGCACACAAAGCTGGTTGAGATAGAGGATTCTTGATTTGAAAGTCACGACATTTTGTGACTTACAAAGAGATTCAAAGGAAGACAGGTATCAGACTGTTCTTGCTATTCTCTGGCCAGCTGTAGCCCTCAACTCTACCATCTACCTTCCCAGTGACCCGAGCAACCATAGCAACATCAGTAGCAACAGTAACAACAAAAATATATATGACAGAGTACATGAAACCCATGGGTTGGGGGGCTATATGAGGATTTGCAGATAGGGGAGAGGTTGTCTAAATATGCTCAAAATGTATTGTATGAGAGTCACAAAAATTCAGTAATAATATAATAATAAAAGAAATGACGAAAGATAATTCTATGCTTTAAAAGATAATCTTAATTTAAAAATACATGCCCTTGGGGAGTAGTGGATGGAGCTAATGAAAACATATCAAACAAAACATTAAAAAAAAAATCTATGCCCTTAACGGCTTCCTAAATGGACTATGGAATAGTGAAAAACATTGGTTTGAAAATCAGTAAACTTGGCTGAAGACTCAGGTTTTCTCATTATAGTGCTGCAACTTTGGACAAGAGAGTTAATCCTCCGAATCTTAGCCACTTGCATCTGTACCTGACAAATGGACAGTGTGGAACCCTAGAATAGAAAAGAATGTCAGAGGGCTGGGGATGTAGTTCAGTTAGCAGAGTGCTTGCCTAGCATAGAGAAAGCTCTGAGTTTGAACCCCCAGGACCATATAAGTAGGGTGTGGTGCTGCACACCTGTAATCCCAGCACTTGGAAGGTGGAAGCAAAAGTTTGAAGTCATTTTTCAACTATACAGTGTGGGTTTGAGGTCAGCCTGAGCTAGCTTCAAGAGACTGTATTAAAAAAATAAGCAAATAAATAAATACATAAATAAAAAAGAAAAAAGACTTTTAGAGATTCAATGCCTTATTTTATTGATAAGGAAACTAAGCCTCAGAGATGCAGATGATCTCTCCAGTGTCACCGAGACAGTGACTATTTTGGATCTGGTAGCACAGATAACCTCATGGTAAAAGCCATTGAAAGCTAAATGAAAATTCATTATCAAACAACCCTAAATTTCAGACCTAGTCCTGACACATGTGAAAATCACAGTACTTTCTGTGACTCAGTATTTGTCATACAAAAAATGGGGATGCTAAAAAATATCCCTTCAAGCCAGGCATGGTTGAGCATACCTCCAAAGCCCAGCCACTCTGGAGAATGAGACAGGGGATGGTAAGTTCAAGGCCAGACTGAGGAACTTAGTGAGGCCCTGTCTTAAAATAAAAATATTAAAAGGGATTGGGAATATAGCTGAGTGGTAGAGTTCTTGCCTACCTTACACAAGGCTCTCAGTTCAAGTCCCAGTATTGAAAATAAATGTTCCTTTTATAAGGTGATATGGGGCTGAAATAAGTATGTAAGATAATTCTGATGTTCAGGAAAGGCTTCAAGACTACTTATGTACAATTCATAAAGCAAGGACATGTGTATATCTGTATCTATATCTTAATGTTATGAAACCTACTAAAATGTTTGAAACAACTTGGTCAGGAAAACAGGCTGCAAACATCATTTAGCTGGTGCTTGGCTGTCCTATACTGAGTGAAATTCAACCAGCAAATGTATTGCTCATTTATCCACTTAATTCTAAGTATTTATAGCTCTAATATATATATATTTTAAATCAAAGAAGTACACACATTATACATGACAACTCTATGCCATTAGAATATTTTAAGCACTTAAAATATCATTCTTTTGTTGGCAGAGAAAAAATTCTAGTGTCTTATTTTTCTACACAAATATTAAGTTACATTTCTTTGAAATGATCATATATGTGAGAAATTCTGACATATTCTCTGTGGCACTTTGGATCCTCTTAAGAAGAGAACCCAGGGACTGAAGAGAGGGCACAGAAGGAAAAAGCACTTGCTGCCAAGCCTGACAACCTGAGTTCAATCCTCAGAATCCATATGGTGGACGGAGAGAACCGACTCCAGGAAGTTGTCCTGATTGTACATGCGTGCTATGGAATGCTTGCAATCCACCCCCAGATAGACATGTAAAATATAAATATATACATGTAAAGACAGTTAGTGGAATGCCTGATAGAGAAAAAGATTCAATAAATATTTGTAGAAAGAAAGAATGAATAGATAAGCAAATCATAGAACCCTAACCTAGAGTTTTATAACTTAAAGGAATCTAGAAATGTCACCTACTGAGTATGTTTTGTGGTTTCCACTATGAAACTCATTGAAGCTAAGAGTAAAAAAAGGCCACCGTGGCTTTCACCATTGATTATGTTTCCATGGCGGTAGCCATTGCCATGTGCTCTGCATTGACATTCCAGATGACCACTTGGATAGACAAGCACGTTTAAATTCATGGGGAGAATTGAATACGCAGCTTCCTAAGCAATCTAACACCAAAAAGTTCCCCATACCTGATACTCACAGGTAATTCCCAGTGCCCTTTTGGGAAGTCTGAAGGCAGTTTCAAGCTATTCATGAGCAGTGACAATTTTTTTTCTTTCTTAAGTTAAAAAAAAGTTATATGGGAATATTTGTAAATTGCTAAGTAAGTATCTGATCACATGTCTCTGCCTTGCTTTCTCCCCCCGACACACACCCTCACCATCTTTTGAGGACTATTTGGGTCAAGATGAGATTTGACCCTTAGGGAAGATGAATATTATACTGGTAATTCTTGTCTGACAGCTGTTTTTAATCTATTTTTTTAACTAATTAAAAGGCACATTTAACTTCTCATAAGTTAATTGATCCGTTTTTAAGTGGTAAACTTCCAGGAACCACGGTTTAGCACAAAACATTAAAGACACACAATATTTATGTAGCTCCTAGAACCCCACTCCGGCTACACTGTTACACACATGGAATTGACAGACACCTCCCCAGCACTCAACACTGGGGTCTTGAGGACGTACCAGCTTTGTTTCTTGTCAGCTATGTGGAGGCCGCTGGGACTTACTACACTTGAATGTTTTGCGCTCCCCACCACTTGATACTCTTAATAAGATTTTTTTTCACATAATCCTATAATTCTAAATTTCATTAAAGCCAGAAACAGAAGTCCTATTTCTCAAACTGTGTACAGGTCCTTGGAGACTTGGTTATGGTTAGTGTCATAGGTCAATTTAATAAATGTTCAAGTATCACAACAGTGAAAAAAAATCCTCTAGTTAAATCCTTGGGCAGGTTTGCTACTGTTAAACATACATGTATCTCCTTTCATGGATTCTGGCCTCTCCTGACCTCAAGGAGTCCCTGGGATGCCCAGGCCTTGTGAATAATTGATACCAAGCATCACTGCCTTTACCAGATTCACTGTTCTAGCTCCCTGTAAGTATGGAATCACCCTTTGGCTACTTACTGATATAAAAGCTGAGTGATTTTGCTGACTGACTCTTTCGAGTTTCACAGGATCCTGATGAACTAAAGGTTGTCACGGATAATTTATATTTCCCAGGCTCATTCAGTTCCCAAACAAATTCATGGGCTTCTTCATCCACTGTCAAATATTCAGTAAAGTTCTCTGGATTATATGCAAAAAAGAGAGAGAATGTATATGAATTGACATCTAGATGACCTTACTAGTTAGATTTATACAACAGGTTTTATTATAGTGCTTTCTTCCTTTTATTCATGTTCAATAATATCTGTAAACTAAAGATGCTGCAAATAAGAGGAACTCAAGTCCAAACAGTATTCATCATACTTTAAAATTTCAGATCTAAAATATGATATCCAGGGACTGGAGAGTGGTTTAGAACACTGGTTGCTCTTCCAGAGGACCAGAGTTCAGTTCTCAGCACCTACATGGTGGCTAACAACTGTCTGTAACTCTAGTTCCAGGGGATCTGTCACCGTCTTCTGGCCTCTGTAGGCACTGGACACACGGTGCACATATCCATGTAGGAAAAATACTCACACATAAAATAAATAAAGTAAAAAAAATGATGTCCAAATCAATAACATCAAGGAACAGTATATGGCATGTACCTCACAAAATCATGTACACAAGATTAAACAGAGTTTTAGGAGCAGACAACATTCCTAGGCTTTCTCATCTGATAGAGAAAATGAGAAATAACTAGCATTAAATGTCTTACAAGTTCCTTGTGGAGGACATCAAGTTTTTTCTCCATCTATTTACTTATAGAATTTTGAAAGTAATATTTTTTTAAAGAAGTAATGTGTTTTTAAACTGCCTCAGTGTCTGTCTCCCACTGCTTATTATTATTTGGCATCAGCTTTCAAAATAACACAGTGTAGTCAGATAAATCCATGATTGAACTTTCCTGAAAATAGGTAGTATTAAAAAAAAACTTTGTGCTACAAGATACTGTGATCCATGGAATAAAATGAAGAACAGACAAACAAAAGATTAAAGGAACTTAAAAATTCATTAGAAATTCAGACAAATGACTTTTGATTCAAATGCTCGAAATGACAAAGGAGTTCAATTCTATGTAGTACTAGGATGTGACTGATCACATTATCTAGTATGGAGAATGAGCCGATATTTTATATTATTAAAAAGAACAATCATATTTCACATATAAGGTGACATGATCCTAATGTCACATCATGAAATTAAAGTTGCCATTCTCATTTCAAACTTTAACAACTGATAACCTTTGCCATCCATATTACTAGACTGGAAATTAGAAAATGAGATTTACTTTTGTAAAAACCAAGAAACAACAAAAAAGCCTGTGGATTAACAACAGAAATATGCCACAGCTCTGTTTTCATGAAATGATGCTCTAAAATGTAAGCAGGTGGGCATGGTTGCACATCTGTACTGCTAGCACTTTGGAGGTAGAGGCAGAAGGATCAAGAGTTCAAGGTCATTCTCAGCTACAGAGCAAGTTTGAAGTCATCTTGGGCTACATGAGATCCTATCTCACAAAACAAACAAATGTGCATGTATAACTCTCATATATGTGTGTGTGTGTGTGTGTGTGTGTGTGTGTGTGTGTGTAATTTCAAATGATGAATAAGTGGATAAAATTTAATGATGTTTCTATAGTGGAAATATCAATTTTTGCATATTTTCCATGTACTACCAGCTCCTCTGGGCAGACTTGAGCATTGCATCCAGTGCTTACAGTCCATCTTAATCAAGAATACCTGGGTAAGCAGCAGACAGATCTTAGGCTCTTAGGAAAGTAGTCAGTGCCATAAAGACTCTTTGTTACATGTATCACAAATTTACATATATGAAAAAAATTTGTTCAGGATAGTAATATGCTGTGATGGTCAAATGCTTAGTTCAAAACATTTCCAAATATAAGGTTTTCTTTAGTGGCCCGGCATATAGGAAATGCCAGGCAGTAAAACATACAATTAGTCATAATTTCTACTTGTGAATCACCAAACTTCATCATTCTCTAACCTATTCATTTTGACTTTCTGCTCTCAACCCACATTCGATAGGCAATTAAATTCTCTCTGTTTTACCGCCTTTAGATATTGCCTCTGTCTCTATCAGTCTTCCTTCCTAAGTTCAAGTTTAAAACCGTTTCAATTGCGTTCGGTTTGCGCCATTTATTTCCTCTGGCTTTCTACCCCTTACCTTCTCTTTCTATGCGAATATTGAACCCATCGAAAGCAGTAGGTGGTTTCGGTGGTAACCAGCTCAGTATCATCTGTACTGGGAAGACAGAGAAAGGGTCTGATGTGGGCTTCTCAGTCCCGCCCAGTGAGGTGCTATTTTCGTAGTCTACCGGGGGAAGCACACCGACAAACTCCTCGTTTTCTGGTGCTACAGATGCACTGTCCCACCACGATGGCTGAGACGTGGCTTCATGGTCACTGCTGTTGAAATCGGGCCAACCCGAAGACACGTTGCCAGAGGGAATTTCGGGAGTTTCATCTGGGAAACGGAATAGTTTGCCTTTTCCTACTGAATCTTGTGATTTGATGAACGATTCCTCCGGGAAACTCCCACTCTGTTCTTCCCAGTTGTTTTTGTTCCGGTTTACGAAACGAACAGAAATGTTTCGAGGTGGGTATGGGGCTGAGAAAGAGAGAATTTTCAAGTCATTTTTAAACTCCAAGATATTGAATATTTACCCACGAGTTGAGTTAAATACACAAGCATGTTTATCAAATACAGTTTAACTTCACTTCTAACATAGAGACAAATTTATTTATTTACTTATTTATTTATTGTGTGTGTGTGTGTGTGTGTGTGTGTATGCGAGTGGGCATGCACATCTACATGCACATGCCACATAGGGTATGTGTGCAGTTCTGAGAGCAACTTATGGGAGTCAGTTCTCCCCTACCATGTGGGTCCTGGGGACTGAACTTAGGTTGTTGGACTCAGTGACAAGCATCTTTGCCTGATGAGCTGTCTCAATAGCCCTACCCAAATTTTTATGAAGAATAATTGTAGTTTGAAGCAAATATACTTCTAATATTTTGTGCTCCCTCTTTGTGTATATATATATTAGCACACTACCAATCACACTTCGAATACATTAACTCATCTTTGTTGAAGTGGTAGTTGAACCTCTTCTAAGGCAAAATTATGTAAATGCTCCTTGGCTTACCCCAAACTTTCTTTAAGAAAATGTGTCTCTGTCCCTGGATGTCTTTTTTAAAAAAAGCTATCCGTTACTTGCAGCTATCAGAATGTCAATACCCCATGTGACAAAGCTGTACCTGTTGCCCTTACAGCTGATTCATATTCTGGAAATATGTCTCAGTCTCTGATATGAATCATAGGAACACACTATGGATGATGGGAGTAGATCTTCTCTAGAGAGAAAATATGAAGATAGCCTGCATATTTTTCATCTGCATCAGTTTCCAACTGCCCTTCAAATAACACTTTAAATACCCCTTTTCATGAACTTCCAAGAAAAGTTAATCTCTCCCTCCTTTGATTGTCAAATACCCTTATATTTCTTTTATGACATTCATCTCGCTCTGCCTTGTATTATGCCCTTTGTATAAACCCTATCCCATTCTTGAGGACCAAGGTTCCGTCTCACTAATCTTTTGTTTCTGATCTTTTTGGAATTAGAGCAACTTCCAGGTGAAAGAAACTGTTCATTAACGTGTCTTTACTTCAGCTGAAAATGAAAAGAACAAATAGAGTCTTTGATGTTGAGATGAGGTGAATTATTTAACTGAGAGTTTCTCTGTTTTGCTCTAACTAAATGAGGATTATAACACAGAATTTCAGATAGTAAGGGTCTCAGGTGGTCTGCCTTGTTTTAGCCCCATATTTGGTAGAACGGGTTCTCCAGCACACGTACTGAAGCATGCTGGGCACACTCAAAGTTGGTTATATTGGGGATGGATATTTGGCAGTATATGCGTATTTTGTGCATTCATTTTTCTAGCCACCAAGCCATCCCATAATAGTTTTTCGTGCTTGAATATACTATGTCTTGATCAAATCTACCCCCACTCCCTCCCCTCCAACTCTTCCCATACCCCATAATAGTTTTTCATATCACTGATGCTATGAAAATTAGTAAAGTTTTAGACATATCTGAATCCTAATATTTTCTTATAATAATTGATTATCTGTACAAGAATGGCTCTTTTCTTCTCTGTGGACATTTGTTAAGATATAGGATAGTCAATGTCTACTAGATCCAGTTAAGTGACTTGATTATATTTTTATGAGTGTTACATGTCTTTTTAGTCAAAGAATATAACTCTAAGGTTATACTTGCTTATTCTAGATTTTTCTTCTTGAACACTTTGCTTAGTTTCTTTTACATTGATATGAAATTTATGTTTGGCCATTAAAATGAATATCTCTTCCTTAGCTCTGCAACAAAAAGTGTTTCTTAGAAATGTTAAGAAAATGCTTTTCTTAGAAACATCAAAAAGCACTCCTTTAATCCCAGCACTCAGGAGGCAGAAGCAGGCAGATCTCTATGAGTTCAAGGCCAGCCTGGTCTCCATAGCAAATCCAGGCCAGTATATATATATAATTTAATTTAATTATTTTTCACTAAGTTTGACTCTTCAGAAGACTCACCTGTTCTGTGCTGTTTGGGTTCATGACTAACACCACTGTACTCCACCAGAGTGCTTTTATTAAAAGTTGCCTCTGACACCAGCTGAAAGGTGATGTTACCATAACATATTCCTGGTAGCCAGTGATTAAATACTGTTTTTCCTTTAAAGAAATCTGTAAAAAGAAGAATCAATTAGATTAAAAATAAGAACGTCTAAATGCCACATACTTGGAGAAAATTTCAATTACATTTGTATATCCATAAAATAACATTTCCTTTAACCTCTGGGTTGAGAAGGCTAGAGATGAAAACTTGAACCTTCACACTTAATCCTCAAAGTCTTTTTTTCTGTCAGAATTCCTAACAAGATTCAACACAATCAAAATTAAAGTTTTGTCTTAGGGACATTCACTGTACACAGAAATGGTAGAGATTAGGTTTATGCTAGCTTTTTATAGGGAAATCCAAATTATTTTGTCACTTTATGAGAAAAGAAATAGCAATTTTTTTCTCTTATAGAAACTAGCTTATGTTAAAAGTGCACTGGTTTATCTGCCAAATGGCAGACTGCACCCGTTCAAAGGATAAAAGGAAATCAAGATTTGGTTCTTTACTTAGGAAATATTGAAGAGGACTGTAGCTCAGTTAGTAGAGTGCTCGCCTAGCATGAAGGAACTCCTAAGCTTCATTCCCAGCACCACATAGAACCAGCTGAGGCAGAGTCGGCAGGGGTTCAAAATCATCCTCAACTAACTTGGGAGTTCCACGCAACAAGAAGAAGAGGAGGAGGAGAAGGGGAGGGAGGGGAAAGAGGGAAGGAGGAAGTGGAGCAGGCAGAGGAAGGAGAGGGAGGAAAAGAAAGACCAGGATGAACAAGAAAGAAAACGCTAATGATAACAAATTTAAAATTCAATACAAGTGAAAGGAAATGAGGAAAAGAAACAAATTTAAAGTCTTCAGAGAGGTTGACTGGGTTCTTTTGAACAGTCTGAATTGTTAATTCTCCTTTCAACTCACTAAAAAGAGTAAAACCTTTTTTGTACTAATGTAATTGTTAAGTTGGTCATATAGGGATATAGAAAAAGTGTCTATTTGCTATGTAATCCTAGAAATGTCATACCCAGAGGGAAGTGGTTTGGGTGAGGTTGACTCTAAGCTGGTTTGACTTTCCTGCAGCGGACATACTGCCTTTGACAAGAGTAATGTTTAATTGAAAATAATTTGAGTATTTTTCATATTGTGTGCATGACTTGTGAGTCTCAACTAATGAATCAGATGTTGTAAGATTTCCTTGAATCATTAATTATTTTTAATGGTTCATTTATCAGTTAAATACTGAATCACAGACAACTCTTCAGAGTAAGCTAGAAGGCTGTTTGGAGGTGACTGGTAAAAATTAATACTCATCATTTATTCAATCTTCTTTTTGCCTCTTACCTTTGTATAACATTGTCCGAAAATCTTTACCTTCCCAGTAGCTGATATTTACTCTGGTGAAAACGTTGTATTTTTCTGGATAGTGAATTTCAAACAATACTCCTGTTTCAGGAGATGGTTTATAGTCATATATTGCAACACTGGTTACAGGTAAAGGTTCTGCCGAAGAAAAGTAAATGAATAGGGTGGAAGAGAGAAGAGAGAGAGGCCATCGCTAATACATGAAAGTAAAACAATCATAGCTATGCAATCTTTACCTGTACTCTTCATATTGCCTGACATAGTCGATTTACTAGCATTTGTGTCAGAGCCTGTCTGTATCACCAGATTCCTCATTAATTTTCTTTTCCTCATACCAAGAAAATTAGATATGATAACAAACAAGTAACAAAATATTTTGCGTTGTGACCAATGATAAATATTTACGTGATCAGTTATTTTTGTGTGAATTTAGCACTATTCTTCTGCTGTAGATAAAACCACAAATAATCCAATGCTGTGCAAATGATCATTTATATTATGCTTATCAAGACATTCTACAGAAGGTTAAGAACATTCTTAATTTACTTGGTGTTGATTTATTATAAAATATGAAAAGTAATCATTAAAAAAATCTCATGATTTAGTTTTTATATTTCCCACATATCCCAACTCTTCAACAAAGTTATTGTGAAAACAACAGAGTTCCCTCATACTTTTGAAACAAATATTAGACTTTAAGAAAACTTTATGTTATGTGTATGAGTGTATTGCCTGCATGTATGTAAGTGCACCAGCATCATGCAGTGCCTGTGGAAGACAGAAGGTGTCAGACTCCTGGAACTGGAGTTATGGGCAGTTGTTAGCCACCATGTGGTACTAGGAATTGAACCCAGGTCCTCTGCAAGAGCAGCCAGTGCTCCACTGAGCCATCTGTCCAGCCCTGAGTTGACCATCTTGACCCAAGTACCTCTTAGAAATTTTTAGTGTATGTCTTATAACTATACAATGTGTAGAGTTCATCTGCTATTGTTCTGTGAGATGGCTTGCTTTCAGTCCTTATGAATATTTTTGTAGTAAACATGTAGGACCTGACTCCTTTAGTTGGAAATCCTGAATGGGGTATTCACATCTTCAATCGTGTGAAATGTTGATAGTTTGAAACTTGATTGTGTAGCTGTGAATGTTTCTGTAAGCTCTTGTTCTTGCACAGTCTTCCTTAGAAGAACATGCTTGTATCAGTCTTTCTAATTTTTTACCACCCCAATGTATGTGAAATGTTGTCTCATTGTTTTAATTTCTGGCTCATGAAGGTTTATTTTTTAACAAAATAATAAGAATTAAAAAAAATTGTATTGGCCACTAATATGCCCTCTTCTTAGAACTGTTTGACTTTTTGCCTGTTTCATGGGTTTTCAGTATTTTCCTGTTGGATTGCAATACAATTTTTGTCACATGCCACATCCCCTCATTGTGTATGTGTGTGTTCTCAGGCATGTCACAGTGCCGATGTGGAGGACGGAGGACAACTTTGTGGAGTCAGTTTTCTCCTTCCACCTTTATGTAAGTTCAAAAGATTGATGTGAGGCCTTCAGGCTCCAATCACAAGTGCCAAGCCGTCTCGCTGGGCTCACTAACTTATTGTAATATATCTGTGAAGAATTCTTTAGAGTTGTGGCTGTTATAGTCTCATAGACTTTGTGTATTAGAAATTTGCTTTGTCCTTACTTTATTCTTTTAAAAATATTTATATATGTGTGTGGCCTGTGTTTGTGTGGGTGTGTTTAGAGTCCAGAAGAGGGCAAATAGATTCCTGGCAGTGGAATTAAGGTTGTTTGATGCCCAATGTGGGTGCTGGATTTTGAACTCTGCTCGCCATGATTGAGTAGTCATCCCCCCCCACCTCTCTCTCCCACCCCCGCCCCAGGCTGGCCTCACTCTCACAGAGATCTGCCTGTCTCTTGAGTGCTGGAATTAAAGGAATATGTTACTACATTTGACCCTTTTGAGCCCCTTCTTGATGGAGCTAGGTATAAAACTTTAGGTAGACACATGTGCTCTCAGTGCTTTGAAGATATAGCTTCCTTTTACCCTTTTATTCTTACACCAATTACTGTCTCAGGCTAAGAGTGAATCCCGTGTAGACACTATACTTTTTTCTCTTGTACCTTCCAAGGTTATTTAACTTGAAGAACCTGCAATTTTACTATTGCATATTATTTATTCACAGTCTTTTATTTTAAATATTTAGTTTTGCCTGCATGTATTTAAGTGCATCTGTGCATGCAATGCCAGCAGAGGTCAGAAGAGGGTGTTGGAGCTCCTGGAACTGGAGTTACAAATAGTTGTTAGCTGCCATGTGGGTGCTGGGAACTGAACCCCCATCCTCTACAAGAGCAGCAAGTGTTCTTAACTACTGAACCATCTCTCCTGCCACTAATCTTATTATTTTTTAAAGTTATTTATTTAATAACCACATGATTAGAAGAAGCATTTCATTACAACAGCATTGACATATTCAATAACAATTTCCAGAGCAAAGATGCATCTCTTCAAAATTGGCTGTAAATTTTTAGGTTCATAGGTGAATTAACACGGTTATCCAATATTATACTCAGTATAAACCCTATGAGACCTAATCTTATTTTTTTTAATTGCTCTGTGTATTTGGAATGCTTTGTCAATTTGTGAATTCATGTCATTCTTTAAGGCTTTGAAATTCTCAAAATCATCTCTTCAAACACACACCCATCTTCCCTCATTCCTCTTTTTCCTGAAGTCTTGATCTTCCTGAGTCGGGGCTCCTCTTCACCCATAAGCCTGTGAACTGTCTCATTACGCCCAAATTATGGAGCAGCTGCAGCGATACCTTGCAATTCTTTCTAGCCGTCATCAGCATGCAATTTAACCCATCTATTCAGAGTTAATTTTCAATTTAATAAGCTGAATTAACTTTAATTAGCTTGACCAATTAAGATTTTAATTAACTTAAATAATTATGTTTCTCATTCCAAAAGTTCCAGTTCATCTCTATATGGTCTATGTAGTTTATTTATGGCACTTTTTGTTTTGTTACTGCTTGAAAATGGATATTATTCTGACATTTATATCTGTGAATGTCATACATATACTGTGAGTTTTTGTTAGGTAGCTATTTAAAATAGAACCTGAAACGTATGTTCTGATGTCTGTTATTATGAGTGAGGTATTTTAAAGCACAGGCTCTTGACTTATTGATCATTTACTTGCTTCTGGGGCAGGTCCACATTGCCCCTCTCAGCTACCGTAGGCTAATCTGAATGAAGGCATGAAGTTAGCCCTTGTATTGTGGATGCTATTGCGCTTGTCACTGGCTGATTTACCAGGTAATGTGGTGGCTAGGCTTGGTCCTTGGCACCAAGATTGGATAGTGTCCCTTGCTCTAGGTGGTGACCCTGAATATTTTCATCCTTCTACACTGGGGTCCAAACTCAGAACTATCTTCTCTGTACCTGGAGCTCAGAGGCTCATTGCTTCAGCTTTGTCTTCATGCAGAGTTTCAGTTTTATTACTTGGACACAGTTGTTGCTCTTGAACTTGTCCATGTACTTCTGTTTTTCTTTTGGTGGTGTAGTAAGAGCGAAAAGTCTACGACAAAGCAACAATTTACTGCAATATTTTGACTAGAAATCTCGATATTAAATGGCCTTTTTCTACTTAAAATTTTTTTATTTATTATTTTTATTTATGTGTATGTGTGTATTGCCTGCATGTAGGTAAGTGCACCCGTGTCCTGCAATGCCCGCGGAAGACAGAAGAGGCTGTCAGATCCCCTGGAACTGGAGTTACGGAGAGTAATAAAAAACAAACCAAACGGCACAGTCATGTTTATTCCTAGTTAGGTGTTCCACATAATCTTTAATCATGTTTAGATTTAAGGCATCTCATGTTCCCTAAATACCTTTGAGATATTCATTGAAATCATGAAGGAAACTGAAACTGATGTGTTTGTGTGTGAGGGTGAAGTATTCAACATTTAATTTCCAGAGCTGGAGAGGTGACTCAGTACTTAAAAGCACTGACTACTCTTGCAGAAGACCTAGGTTTGGTTCCCAGCACCCACATGGCAGTTAATAACCATCCTTAACTCCAGTTCCAGGGAATCTGTCACCCTTTTCTGGCCTCCACGGGCACTGCATGAACAGTTGCACTTACATACATGCAGGCAAAACACTCTTACATATAAAGTAAAAATAAATAAATAAATGAACAAGTAATAAAAATTTACTTTCCGACAGACAGCATCAGCACATACGAGTGCAGGAATTTCTCTGCAGGTCACACATGCTTAGCTGTTATAACACAGTGAGAAAGACAAGTATCCAGTGTGTGTTCTCTAAAAATACCCATTTCACAGCGTGAACAGGTACTATCTGTGTTCACTTGAAGGAAAATTTGAACGCTCTGAATGTGATTATCAGCGAAGACGTGAACAGTGGGGAACATGGAGCAGATGCTGGAGGAAAGCACAGGCAGCCTGTGCCGACTGCCAGGGGGCACATCTGCCTGAGACGGCTCTGTTTTACTGAACTAAGAAGTAAAGAAGCAACTTAGTCAGGGGTGTGACTCGTGAACCCGACCCTCCCAACACAGTTCTCTTACGGAAGGGACACTTGTAACTATATCCTCTTTTCTGATGGAAGAAATAGGGAAGGAACACTGATCTTGGATCCCAGCCAGAGCTGTTCCTCTGTGTTTAGGAAATGTTTGTGGACCTGACCTGATACCTCAGTGGTGCATGTCTAAGCGGTCACTGAGGTGGGCTGGTGGCAACCACCCAGGGTCCAGAAGAAGTGGTGACTGTACAGCCACCAACTTAGTCCCCAGTCTCATAATTCTTACACTAGAATACTTTCACAGCTTTCTAAGTTATTCTTGCTCTCTCTGAGTTTACTTTAAATTGTTTCTGAAGGCCACTTGATCCTCTCACTTTAGTCAATATCTCTGTCTTAAACCAACCACCCCGACTCAGTCCTTACCTCGATGACATTTCCCTGGCTTACTTGTTTCAATTCTCCTTTGTTCCTGATGTCTAGAGTCATTTACTATCTATCACATTAATAATGTTTACACATGTTGACTATGTGCTCTGTCCTACATATTCTGTTGAGTGTCTATTATTACTCAGGTGAGAAAACCAC